TACAGTATGTACGAGCAGCTTCCATTCATTGAACAGCATTTATTCAATGGGTACAGTAGCGCATATAATATCGACGATGAACAATTTTTGTGTACGCACATCATATGTGTAAAATAGAAGTATGCACACATTACGTTATTCTCAACGCAAACAGAGACTTCTACGTGGGTGAATTGGTTGAAAGAAAAATTATATGAAAAAATGGAAACAGCCGTCGTGAAACATAATCAAATCAGAGCGTGTAAACTAAGCAAAAGTTTATCATGAAAGAGAATATCTAAAATAACATGACATTTCCTCTGTACACAATTTTGAATGTTTGTCAAGACGGTAGACTTGAGGCATAATTCTTGAAACATTCACAAATTTACATAAATGTGCATAGGTTTTTGTATCGGATGTACAGAGATTTTCTTCATTAGGACATTGATCCTTTCAATCGTGTACATATTTATAGACACGTTGGAGATACATAGCAAGAGCTCTGTGCATCTCATGCTTTCGCTGTTATACAAAACCTGTGCGCATATATGACCATCTAAATTCGAATGTAGCTGGACTAGTTAGGTAGTCATTTCTATTTCATTGCTCTCTGTATTGTGCGTATACAGTATAGAGGCAATGATTTTGGCCATAAATTACATGACTATTAAGCGAATCAGACCGTAAATTTTATTAGGATGTCATTTTTGCTTGACTATTTCAATAATCTTCCTTAAAAAATGAATTTACTGTGGAAAATATACAATTTAAATAAAATTTGTAAGCTGAAAATCATTTTACAAAAAAATGAAAACGATTGAATCCGAATATTCTTCATGTTATTTGTAAAAAGTAGGTTCAAGTTCAAAATAGCAAATCATATCATATATATATATATATATATATTATTGCCAGTGCGTCGGTCGCTTTTTTGGATATGTATGAAATGCGTGAGATGAAAAAGTTTCTTAAGTCATTGCTCTCATTCTTTTCTCATCCCTTTTCCCTCTTTTGCATGATTTAACTAATCGACATTACATTTTAAGCCATACATACACATTGAAAATTTGCAAAAACACATTTATTTTATTAAAATTAATCCAAAGTCCATAAGTCTGCTGAATCATCTAAACATATGTGCTCATGTGATTATAAAATCTATAACGACGAAAAAATTGGGCACAAACACATGCAAAATATACTAAAAACGGCTGTAAAGCTTTTGTTTGTGTAAAATATATGCCTTTCGCTTGATATCAATATGCATTGATAATATTAGATCAAATATTTGACAACAAAAAGTTTCCAAGGAATGCTCTAATTATATTCGTAATAATCAATAATTTCTTTGGCGTTTGTGTGTTAAGTTAAATAAACCTTGTGATGTCGTTAAGTGAGATGCTAAAAAATGCAGACAACCAAGTGACTTTATCCAATCGAACGATGAAAAGAAAAAAATTGATGAACAATATTTTCGATTGATCTAACATTTTTGAGAATATTTTTATGGTCTCTTTCGAATGGTTCTGTCCTTTATTTATTCTCTCAATTTTACCTTATTTACATATGATTTACTAAGTTTTTGTCATTGGTAATATCTTGAATATGATATGAATAGATATGAAATTTGTACAAACCAATTTTTCGGCAAAGTTTTACGACTGTCGCCAACAGTCTATCGAATAAAATATAAAAATCAACAATATGACAAATTTTCGAATTGTTTTGCTATTCCGACGTTAAATATATGACGTCCCATTACAACACTTTTCCCTATACACCAGGTGTTGCTAGGGGCTTTCATGTAAGATTTTCTTTCCAGAATTCGACGAATAAACAACAATATAACAACTTATGCAAATTCTTACCGATTTCACTATTTTGTGCCAAAAATCCACCGATATTGGCTGATATGCGAAGTGTGTGTGTTCTGGAAGTGGGCTTTGGTGGATCCTCAGGATCATTAGAACCGCTCCTAGTTCTGGAAGTGGACCCTCAGGATGGGACAGGGCATTGTCAAACCATGGTTTGGTCCATCCAGAGGATCCACCAAAACCCACTTCCAGAACTGGGAGCGGTTCTGATGATCCTGATGATCCACCAAAGGCCACTTCCAGAACAATTAATTATCAAAAAATACCCGAATTTTAACGATATTTTACAGATATGCCGATATTTCACCGATATGCCAATATGCAACGATAATACGCAAATATCATCCAATAAAAATATTGGCGAAAAAGTAAAAAGACAAAGAAATGACAATGCTGGAATGTGAATTTCAGCCAGGCTGTGTGTTTTGTATAATTTCAGCAGGTACTGCTATTTCTAGCACGATAGCTATGCTCTGCCTAAGTTTGACGCATTGCATACCGCATTGAAATCGATGCCTATTTACAGTGTGTGTTCATTACGCGGCAATAGCGATACCGTGTATTACGCAGCATTCATGCATGTGTATTGATGGTTTACGGTGTCGCTATTGCCGCGTAACGAACACACACTGCTTACAGCAGTCACCGATTTCAATGCGGTATGCAATGAGTCAAACTTAGGCAGAGCATAGCTATCGTGCTAGAAATAGCAGTGCCTGCTGAAATTATACAGAACACACAGCCTGATTTCAGCCACTCAAGACAGATGTAATCAATAACACTCGCAAATAAGTGCGCGTGTTTGTTTTTCGTACGATGCTAAGTATAAAATAAAACGAAATTAACGATGGTGATAATGTCAGAAAGTTTTTATAGACATAAATCCATAATGAATATTTTATTTTCGTAATTCAGTTTCTTGTAATCGTGCGTTTGCGCATCATTCGCAGCGGCATAAAACTTTGAACGAATACAAAAAATGACCGAACAACAACAAGCCCATTTAAATAATAATCAGAAGAAATTCTTCAAATTGTACTGATGATTGATAGACCTTCAACAGGATTATTAGACTTTCTACACTTATAAAATATTGTTGCATTAAGAGATTTCTTTCTTTGACTTAGTTGAAGCAATTTTAAAAAAATGCCAGAGACGAGACTTTTGGTTAAAATTAAGGTGATGAGACAATTTTATAGTTGATTAGACGATTAATATGCATAAACAATCTCTGCAAATTTCATCGACCAGACAGCGTAAATGAGAGCTTAAATTATGTTCATACACCCTCCAATCCAAAAGTTCCGAGACTTTTTAAGCGAAAATGGAGAATTGTGCAATGTACATTATAGTTTTTTTTGTTGACAAATGACTGAAAAATGAGCAAGAAAAATATCGTGAATAAGTGACTTACTGTCTATTTCATGTTCTAGAGACTATATACATCTGACTATCTGCAATATTCGTTATGGATTATTCAATATATAGGTCTTCAGTTAATATTAGGCTCATCAGGTTCCACGAAATTCACAGAAAATTGGTCCACGAAATGAGAATATCCTGAAAATGTGACTTTTTCCAAAGATGTCGATATGCGAAGCATGTACCGATATAGGATCTTGTGTATTAGCTTTTCTAGCTTATAGACAGCATGAGCAATTATAATAAAATGGTTTTTGAAATATCTAATTCGTTAAAACTTTCAACATTTATCACAAAAGTTGATTACAAATTTAATGATGATTCACTTTTCTTGTTTTAATAGAAGTGATTGTTCATTATAACAATAGCTTCTATTGTTTTAGTCCATTTAGCTGGCTAACGTACTGTCAGCTCAACTGACCAGTTAGTTCAAGATATTGTCTGATTCATTTTGTCACCGAGAGCAAAAGATACTAAAAAATAAGACGCAATATCTTGACATGTTTACATCCGATCCTCATGAAACCTGGACATATTGTCAGTGGGGCAAGTACCTTTCTAACGCATATAATATCCAGTAGGTAGCGCCACTGGTATCTATTATTTTTAAAAAGTCTCGGAACTTTTGGGTTGGAGGGTGTACACTGTACACAGAGAAAAAAATCGGTAAATATTTATAGACTGCGTTAAATCACATGAGCTAATATTGTGATGATTTTTTGTAGAAAATGTGAAATTTGAGCTATGTTAATTTATCGACCAACTGTCATGAAATTTTGTCTAGATCAGTTTTTTGGCAGAAAATTATGTATCCCAAAGTTTCACGACGATCGGATTAAAAATAAAAAATTTCAATATGACAAATTATCGACAAATGTCATTTTTTACTTACTTCTGTGAAAATGTGAAATTTGAGCTATGTTCATTTATCGACCAATTGTCATGAAATTTTGTCTAGATCATTTTTTGGCAGAAAATTAAGTATCCCAAAGTTTCACGACGATCGGATTAAAAATAAAAAATTTCAATATCACAAATTATCGACAAACATAATTTTTTTCCTGATTTTTGTAAAAAAATTCGCTACGGCTCGCTTTGGCTCGATATAACTATTATATCATTTTGCGATATATAAAATTATTTTTTTTGAAAAATTTACTATAGGAAATACTGCAAATGGCTCGCTATGGCTCGCTATGGCTCGCTATAACTATATTTGAAAAATTTACTATAGGAAATACTACAATTGGCTCGCTATGGCTCGTTATGGCTCGTTATGGCTCGCTATGGCTCGCTATGGCTCGCTATAACTATTATATCATTTTGCGATATATAAAATTATTTTTTTTGAAAAATTTATTTTAGGAAATACTACAAATGGCTCGCTATGGCTCGCTATGAATTTAAATGAAAATCAATCGACGATTTCAAATGGTTTTTGAAAATGTTCCTTGATGAAAATTGATGGAACAAATTTTGTACTTTTTGATTGTTTGTAAGTTTGCACATTTGCGTAAGTGGTGCTGCCATCCACAGCATATTAAAATATCTTGCTGAGAATGTGTCGTCCGTCGCATGCGAAAGTACGTAGCAGTTTTTACATCACAGCGAACAACAATACATGCATTGTTCTCTATACAATCGTTTGAATGTTTTGAGTCACATAATCGTGAAGAGAACAATGCATGCATTCTTGTTGGTTGTGATGTATAAACTGCTACGTACATTCTCATGTGACGGACGACGCATTCTCAGCAAGATATTTTAATATGCTGTGGATGGCAGCAGCGCTGAGCAATACTGTGTTTTTAATTTACATGATGGTACAGAAAGCTTTCGGTTTTACATCATTATACGTCAAGTATTTACAAGTAATTTCAGTGCAATCGTTGAATTTTTCAGGATCATCTCTTTTCATTTCCGCCAAACTTTCGGAGCTAAAAATAATGCAAAAAATGTAAAAAGAGCTAAAGAAAAAAGTCTCAAATACAACCTCATACGATCGAGGCATTTATAGTTCAATCTATCGGCCAATCGGTTCGATGAATCAGATATGAAAAGGCTGGCTGTTACATCCACATGTTGCTCCAAGCAAATCGTTACATGGACCCTAAGAAGTGCCTCACCTAATCCATGGCGACGATAATTTGGATCAACCGCAAGTGCTTCGCTTGTCAAGTATTTATCAACTGGAAACTTGTCGAATATACGATCGCATACAAACTATAACATAAGATGATGAGTAACTTAGATGAAGTAAATTTGGAGTAAAATTTTAGATTTTTTTGTTACATTTGATTTACACATCGATTCTCTGATATCTAAAATATTTAGCCCAATAATTGTTTGTGTGCCAGGCTTAAAAATCACCACTGAAATATTTTTTTCCAATTCTTCTCGCCAACACATTTTCGGTGAACCTGTTTCAACATTATCCAATTTATATACACTGAACATTATTAAATGTATGAATTTAGATAGAGAGATCAGAGATGTCAACAAATACTGGTATTCATTTTTAAATGTTGTGCCGCAAATACCGCTGCATCGTCATATTTTGAAGGATGTAATTTTTCAATACTGTAGTAAATCGTTTTGCCGGTATCACTCAGCTTGACTGGAAACTTAATGGGCCACAATGATTTTTTTGAGCTTTCACCCCTTATCGCAAATTCTTCCGATACAAAAACTCCAATAAACACAAAAATAAAATATTTTCGACCCAACATTTTCACAATCAAATATATATTGAATGATTCGGAAAATCATTCAAGTCACATAACGATGGTTAATTGCGCTCAAACAGGTGTTTTATAAGGAAAACGTAAAAACAAACATTATTTTCTATTTGGTTGCAAAAATTGTTGATTTAATTTATTCAAGTTAGTATCTCCTCAGAAAGTCTCTGTTTAATTAGCGCTTATTTGGAATAAATGTGTTTTAGCTTGATATATTCGCTGTCAAATTACAGAAAGAAACGATTATTTGTCTAAATTCAAGGTGTTTTAATTGATCACAGAGCTAAAAAACCAAATTTTACATCAATTCTTTGTAGTGGAATTTTGTCGCACAAAATTGTTTGTTTTACTTCAATAACAATAATGAGTGCTTCTTAGTTCGATATCGATAATTCTACTGTAGATTCCTTAGCATGAGTCAGTGGGCGCTGGTGAAGCACTTTTTGTATGGAAATATTTGTTGAAAATTCAACAATACGCCACCTATTAAAGACAATAAAGATTTTCGTTACTACTGCTGTCTTGACACAGCTCTAGCGAACTATATAGCTGTATTGCAAACGTATTAGTACTGACACCGATTCTGTGTATGCGTGTGTGTTGTAAATTTTGCACAAACGGCTACGGTTGACGACTGAGTGCAGAATTTGCAATACAAACGGACAAAATCAGAGTCAGTGTGTTCTTTAGTAACAAAAATCTTTATGTATTTTAATAGATGTCGTATTCGTTGAACCTTCAACAAAAAATCTTCGATACCAGCGCCCACCGGCATGAGTTTACCTTTACCTTTATATATTTACTTTGTCATCATTATCGGCTGTGTGCATCAAACATTTTCAATAAAAGTTTAAATAAATTTGTATCTACGGCCATTTTTCAAACTCTAAACTTTATTTCATTTTGTTACAGCTTTCATACAATTCTAACTTAAATGAATCTATCTTAATAATGAATCGACGAAGACAAATGTAACTGTTTAAGATGGGTACTCTTGTAAGAGCTACATCATTTAAACAAACTATTTAATCGATTTAGTTCCATTCAAGATCAAAGACAATAAAATAAATAATAATTAAGAATCAATATCGCTGGTTAATCGGTTTATTTATATGACATCATTTTTTTTAAACTATTAACTAAGCCAGGTGCATTTAGAAATTTTCAATTAACTTAAAAGAAAATCCATATGTCATTAAAACTATTTAAATCATTTTAATATCCATTTGTTGTATTGCCGGAATAATTAGTTTTAAGGCCAACATATATGTAACACAAAGAAGTCACTTGACAAACAGATTTCTGCCCTTGCTAAGCATTCAATTACCAATGCACATACGTTTAAATTTGATGAAGCAAACATTTTAATACAAGAACGGAATAAAACTAAGCTACAAATACAAGAGGTTAACCAAATAATTAAATTTGAACATATTGCATGTAATGATAAGAGCGATAAAAAAGATTATTCTAATGTGTATTATAATCTAATTAAAACTGGTTTGAAACGTTAATTGTAAATTGGATTGAATAGTAAATTAGTCGTACACCAGAGGTGCAAGTATGTTTAATGAGGCAATTGACAGTTAGTTGTTGTTGTTGGTTTTTCACTGTAATACACATTCAGTGTTGATTTTCAATTGGAACCGCTCTATTGGGTATTCTTATTTTTCATAATTGTATTCAATTTGATTAAGTATTTATTAATAAAATGTTTATTTTGTTTTAATAAGGTCCTGATGATGGGCTTGACCCGAAACATGTAGACCAAAACGAAGAACATTGAATGAATTTTATTTATCAAAACGGAATTTTCTGAGGCAATACAAAACAGTTTGTGTGAACGATTTGTTGCACAAATTTGTATTTAAATCATATTATTTGTCCTTAACAGATATGCTCACACTCGCCCTTGGATAACTTTTCTTTTGGAAAAAAGATAAAGAAAAATGATGAAAAATAAATAAAAACTTTTTTCAAAACAATAACTGTTTACTACTCACTTTAGCATGTCGCAAATGAAAAAGAACACAATCAATGGATAATATTATGGTGTATCAGAGATTCAATATGAAACTAAAAACTAAAGTTTTTGCAGAATCTCTCTCTTATTTTCGATAAATCAGTCGTCAAATAATTATTGTTTGTAGTTGAACGAATCATTTGTTATCAGATAAAAATGATATTAAAATATTGTTTATACCACCAACGTTCGTTTGGCCAATTTTGTTTCGAAATATTTGATTGGATTGCGAATATCTATTTGTTGTTCAAACCACATAAAGAGAAATTTGTATTCTTTTGTATGAGAAGCAAATGGTCCGATAAAAGCGAATCAATGTGTATACGATGGTCATTTGATGATGAGAGTTGTGCTATAGTGTTTTCGTAAAAACATAAGTATATAATGATAGCAAGAAAAAAAAACTAAAAATAGTGGCAGTGAAAGAGAGCGAAATTAGGTCAGTGTCTCAATATGTCTTCGGGTGGATGATTGTTTGTTAAAAAGAAAACGTACAAAAAGTAGCCGAATGCGAGTAGAATAGCGAATAAAATCAAACAATACATAGTAGAAGTAAGAACACCTTAGAGCGATATTTGGTGTCAAATCCAACAAAATATTCAGTTTTCCATAAGGTTCATTCATCTGAATATAAAAGTGTATGAAATTCTCTTTTGTGACGTACGTTTGTAGTACGTAGTGCTATATTAAATGATATTGATCCGAAGCAAACGAAAAACTCTTCAATGGTTGAATGATGGAAAAAGACAAAAGTTATGGCGATTCGCATTTATTGGGGACATGTACAAAGTATACAAATAAGCGCAATGTGATTTCAAAAACTTTACGTAAAGAACGAATCATGTGTGGTAAATTTTGATGTACTAGCAAAGCAACCCCAATAAAACGGATATTATGTATTTGGCAACTACATCAAACCTTTTTCAAAGACCTTCAACATACACACATTCACAAAAAGCAATCGATTTACTTTATAGATTCCAAAATTTAGACTTTTTTGTATTGTATTATTAAAAAAAATAGCAATAGCAAATGGTAATGAAAAGAAAAATATGCCACAAGCATATATATATACACTGCCATATATATATACACTGTCAGACCAACCAAATTAAAAAAAAGATGTCAATTTGTATGAAAAATATTTGGTTGGTGTCAAACTATCTGACGGCAGTGTATATTGAATAGATAAAAAAATAAATGCCAACTATTTGCAATTTAATGCATGCTTACAAAATCCGGAGCTATGGCGTACAGTTTTGTGTTGCGGAATGCCAATAAGTTGATGATACAGTGGCGAATAAGTGCGCGAAACCATACACGGACTAAATAAGCAACGTTTCTTGCTATACTGTGGATGATGATATACACATCGTAAACAATACTTTGTTATTCTATAGAGATTTATGATCGAAAAATGGGCAACCAATGTTTTTGTTGTGACAAAAGAATCGGTAGAGATGTGAAAAGTTTTTGTTTTATTTTGAACCCTTTCACTTTTTACTTGTTTCGGCTCGGCAATTTTTCTGCTTAGTTTAAAGTCAAAGACACATTCACTTTTGTATATATGCTAGGGGGTAGACACATAGAATAGGATTAGACTTTTAGTGTAAAAATTCGAGAAATTAAAGTGGAATAGAGAATTCAGTAGCTGGATTCACATGGATTCACTAATCCTGTGTATGGAATAGCGAAAATGGGTTAATTCAAAGTTTTTGTAATCGATAGTACAGAATTTGATAAAAGCATTGAACTTGTTTTGAGATAGTAATTTGTTCTTTTTTGAAATATTTTTTAGTTCAAAAGTCGATTACAAATTTACAAAACAATAGATACACTTTCTCAAAATTTTATTGATGAAAAAAATAATTTTAATTATCAATAACAAAATGTCATACTCCAGTATCGATAAATAAGTTTTCAACAAAGTGAATAGCGGCGAAATGTGAGATCACATTTGACAATGAAATGACGTATTGGTGGAATAGTAGGATTAGTGTTTTTATATTGGAATCATGGTTTAATCGTTTGTGTCTCCCCCCTAGTATATATGTGTGCCAGTAATGTGCGAGCAAAATTTTCCAGGGGGGGTTCTTCAAAAAACCCTAGGAAATCGAGAATCCCTAGCAAATCGGAAGAATTTTGAAGTCACAGAGGGGTAACTCCCCCTCTCCCCCTCCTCTTCGCACATTACTGATGTGTGTGTAAGACGTTTTATCCCTAAACGAATAGACAAGCATTTATATTGCAGCTGATCAATAATAAAGTAGAATGAACAAAGAGCCAACGTAGTAAAAGCAAAAAATTTTGGTGTGTTGTTTTGTTAAATTTCATCTACGTTCTTTTCTTTTATCCTTTTTTTTCTCTCTCCGTTTTCGCCTTATTTCTTCCATATTTTTTTTTTTCTTTGGTTAAAAGCGAAAAATCAACACGCGATGCCTCAATCATTTTTGATGTTGAATTTGATGTAGAAAGGAAGTGTTGTGCTGAACTGTTTTTTTTTCTGGTCCTACATAGATGGATACACATGTTGGTTGTCTCTGTGCTTTTATACGTATATATGACATGTGCTTATCTGATATGGGCCCCGAACGGTTTATAGTCTGATTTCATTTTATTTGATTTCTGTCTCAATTTTTTCCCTTTCGTGGTCCGGTCGTATGAGTGAGAAAACTTAATGTGAATTTAATACTGTTATGGGACGATGCTGTTGGTTTTAGATACTGAATGGTTATTATTTGAAACGAGTTTGACTATAAATTTTATCTTTAATACTAAAACGGCGTGTGAAAAGATAGTGAATATGGATTTTTGCACTAGTGTGCACACTCACTTTCATATATGTATGTCCGAGAATGAATGTGAGTCTTCTCCTGAGAGTTTATTGAAATGTAACACCGCCATACAAAAA